GCTGCTGGCAGCTCGAATAGTATCTCCGCATTTTCAGCCGCTTGCTCGCTTCAAACGACGGTCTTCCCTCAGCTACACACTACAACCCCTGCCCCCGCTTTCTCGAGACCAGGTAACAGCCGTGCAAGATGCGTCTGCTTCTACTGCTCCAGGTCGTGCTATGCGTGTCTACCGCTCTGGTGACGGCCGCGCCGATCGGACGCATCGACGAATTGATGCGACGCATTGACCTCAGTGCAATTACAACTGGACCTCAGGTAGGCAAGAATCCGAATAATATCGCCGCCGCAAAACAATGTGTCAAGGATTACTGCGATACGCACGTGCCGGGCGCTGTGTCTGCCGAGGTGGGTTAAAGTCTCTTTCTCGCCTCCGATATGAACCTACATCAGACTTAAGAGATACCCTCTACCCGCACAGGTGACCATGGGGCCCCATCCTAGCCCTTCGGATTCTACCAGACACATTTCGACCAATCTGAAGGACAAGAATGGCGAATTTATAAATGGCTTTATGCCTGGCACTACGACGCAGGCACAGGCCGACGCAGATGGAGTCAAGAAGGAGGCGCAAAAACAAGCAAATAACCCTAATCGCAAGCCAAACCCCAACCCTCCCGCGAACCCCCCGTCTCATCACGTCGACCCCACCAACAATGCACCTACCCCTAAGCAGCGGACCCAAATGACGAAGAACGGTGGAAAGTTCCCGATCCCCGCGCCGCCTTGAGCTCGATGACCGTGGGGCTGGCGGGGAGTGCGGGGCGCGCGCGCGCGGGGAGAGGCTGGCACGACTCGTCGAGACCGGAGCGTACGGCGTTTGGCCCGAGGCACGGGTGAATGCTGGCGGCTGTTCCCGCTTGCTGTTGAAGCGGGCACCTGACATGATCATGCATGGCGGAGTGGGGAGTGGGGAGTGCGGAGTTGCTTGTTGCGAGGAAAGGCTTACGCGTGCACTTTGCAGTTACGTGCGTGCACCTTGCAATACAATGATCCCTTTTCAAACGGGCTTCACCTCCTCGATCGCTTGCTGACAGATTGAGATGTGTGAGGTTCCCGAGAATTTGATGATTCGAAAGCCTCGTCCCACACGAGATGATGGATGCATGGTCGTCGCGGATATGTTTGCATTGACACGAAGGAGGCGATGCAGCTGTGTTTGTTTTGCCCGGTGAGCGGGGCTGGCGGGTGAGATCGAATGCGCGGGGTTTGGTCACGTGATCAGGCAGGTGTAGGCTGCTATGACGAGAGATCTTTGCATAGGTGATATATTGACTCGTGACTGAGACATCCTGTCTCAACATGGGGTCATTATACACGTGTATATAGCATGGGATGGATGCTGTGGATCCTCCAACGGTCGTCGACCCCGGTATGAGGTACTAGTACCCCCGGTAACAAAGGAGCCCGCGCCGTACAAAAGAGGCGCCACACGCGCACAGTCTGAGTGGACCAACGACGTCACGTGGACTTGGGAACGCGCTACTCTACTGCGCGAGAGGCGTCCGGTCAAACACACCATCGCGCATCCACACACTTCAATTCACCACCTCCATCATCTCGTATGACACCAGCGCTGTCGGGCAGTGGCAGCTCTTTGCAGCACTTCAACAAGTACGTTGGACTCGAGGCTCTGAGCTGCTCCACAAGATGCGTGGAGAAGTAGAAGCCGTATTTTGCAGCACAGACAGACAAAGCAGCGCATCTTCTTTGGAAAGTCAACAACCGCGCCATCGCCTCCTGAGATACAATCATCATGCGCATCCCTTTTCAATCGCGGGCAGATACACGTGCCCCAACAGACCCAGCGCCGTCGAGCACGACCGCCTCAGCCCACTCCACCGATGACGCATATCAAGAACACTCACCTGACAACCACCAGCACGTAGCGACCAACGCACCCTCTGCGGCCGCGGTACCAAGCGCTTCGGCCTCAACTTTCGCTTCGCGCAGCACAATGAGTCGCTCTGAGCGTCCCTTTGCCTCTGCGCCGCCTCCTATTCCTGCCGAGGCTTCGCATGACGTCGCCGCTCCAGCCCGCGAAGTTCTGACGCCCGCGAGCCTCCATCTATGGGCCACCGAAGCAGGTGCCTCAAAGGCAGAAAAGCGAGAAAGGGCCTTGGCAGAAGAAGCAATCCTCAAGGGCGTTTGGTTCGGAGGGCTATTTCATTCCCGAAACTCTCCCCTCCGCGTGGGCGGCACTCTCGACCTTCGGGGCTACAGGAGCCTCGCCAGCCTGCCCGCGGGACTCAGTGTGGGCGGGAGCCTCCTCCTTAGCCGCTGCACGAGCCTCACCAGCCTGCCCGCGGTGCTCAGCGTGCGCGGAAACCTCTCTCCTGCCTTCTGCACGAGCCTCCGCAGCCTGCCCGCGGGGCTCAGCGTGCGCGGGGAAATCGCCTTTCGTGGCTGCACGAGCCTCACCAGCCTGCCCGCGGTGCTCAGCGTGCGCGGAAACCTCTCTTCTGCCTTCTGC